CAGAGACAAAAACAAATTAGCCAAACCCCGTTCATATGCACGTTATCAATCCAAGGTGAATAAATCTCCTATTTCATCCACCATGGACTTTTTTTCCCTCCTAAAATACACATATGTCCAAAATATGTGCTTCAGCATTTCACCTTTTCATAGTCTGTTTTACATACAACTATATTTCCTTGGCCAACATCGGTAAGGATAAAGGAAAGCAAGTTAGCCAAAAGGTCAGATTATACTGAAACTGAAATATTTATCAGAACAGCTGTTTCTGCCAAGGAAGATAATCACAAAGGTAAAGTCTCACTTGATCCTTAATTGACTTGTGTGTTTTTAATTAGGAAGGGGGGGGGGGCAAATTAACCTAGAGCTAATTACAGTCTTGATTCTACAAATATGCAAGTGCGTAATTTTATTCACGTAAGTGCTCCTCGGTGAAGTTATGCATGAGCAAATATGTTTGTAGCTTCAGGGAATAAGTCTTGAATAACTCAACCTTTTAAAAACTTTTAAGTGGGTGCTTTATAAGTATTTCTTATATATAACCCATTTGGTATTTTAGGCTTTACATGTGAAATTTTTCTGAACACCAAACAATATTTTCTTTTGTTTCAGAAAAACAGCAACAGTTATGTTTGTGTTAGGAAATAAGAGGTAGTTTTAAAGAATGAGCATTTTAAATATTTAAATACATGCCTTTATTCATCCTGGTCTGTGAAACTGACTCTTTGGCTTAATGACATCAAAGCGTAGATGTCTCTAGCAATGTATTTTGACTTAAGCACACAATTAACTTTCAATGCACAACACAATCAGTTTCAGGGGAAGAAACTTCCCCAGACCTGTGTACATGCAGGTCCCTGCATACCACAGTTCACTCACTGCTGGAAGAACCTTCTGGAACATGCAAAGGGGCAACCTAGGCTCACTGGTGCTCTCCCTGCACCCACATCGCTACCCCAGTTTCTTCATTACATGCAGTGGTTTGTGCCCATTTCTTCAAACTCTGTGGACGTCTATCTGCAGTCCTGCAAGCTGCCACAGATGACTCCCCGTATCAATTACATAGGACTCAAACTTTTAATCAAGACTTCCAAGAAAACGCCCTCCCATCTGGCCGCTGCACCACTCGATGAGGACTTGCTTTACATCCAGACTCAAACAGAAAATAACTCCCTCAGCCTGCTTTCCCAAGGAAATGTTTAGACTTGCTTATCTGTGGATAAACACGTCTGCCAGACCCCCTCTAATACGTTCTGAGCCTATTGGCCAATTATAACCAAATTTGACGTAGGTTTGGAGGCCTAAAAGATATTCACTCTGACAAGTGGCAGAAAAGCAGGCAGCTGGGCTGAGAATACAGCCCCCGGTAGTGACCCTGTGAAGAGAAAGGCTCAAGTATGGAATTGCACGGACTCTAGGGACCCTGGGGATGCAACGCCTGTGAAGAGAGGTTTCCTTGGGTTTTGCCTCTTATCAAAATCCTGCAGCTTTTTCTGTGTATGAGAATTCTCCTGCAATGAGAATGAAAAGGGTGTGCGCACACACAGCGCGGCGTGAACTGATCATAAAGAATAGTCGATCACCTAGGAATATTTTTACAGCTTGATGAGGTGTTGACGTTTCAAGCAGAGAAAAGTAAACTCAGTAATGCAACGCATGGAAAGCCTGGTATAACGTAATCAAACAGGACTTCTTATAAAGTATTTCAGTTACCTCAAAATCATTTCCTTATTACAAAAAAAAAAAAGTCAAGCCCTTATAGAAGCTGATAGATAAATCTTTCCTCCTTTCACACACTCAAAGGAATAAGGTTGTTGATGTAAAGCATGAGATGTTTCATAGATATCATCAGAATGTTACAATCTGTAGACTTTTTGAAAACTTTATCATGTAACCCTTGTTACATTTTTGCTAACTCAATCAGATATCAAACAGCTAGGGGAAAGTGCTTATCAGAAGCAAGGCCAGTCTGAAATGTGTGTTAGTGCAGAAACCAGTTTGGTACATGCAAACTTTAGACCAAACCGCAGCGTCTTCTAATCAGTTTCCTCCAAATTTTGCCTATCAGCGGCAACATTTTCAGTTGGTTTAAGACAAGTTGAGAACAGGAGCTCATATCTTCTGAAAAGGAATAAAAATCCAACTGGTAACTAGTCTAAGTTATGTCTTATAGTTTGCTTTATGGGGCACCACCAATAAATCTAATGAATCTGTTTCTGTTCAATATTTGTGGTATTTACAGCATAATAATCTGGATCATTTTGGCATGTACGAGTCAAACACTGATACATCTGTAAATCCTCACCAACTTCTTAAATAGAGCAACGACCAAGATACCCATGTTGTTTTATACACTGTTCTATCTGTGCAACTACCCAAAGGTCAGTAGAAAATACAAGTCACAAGTTTTTAGAGACTTATCCTGGATTATCCTGTATTCTATCTGCAGGCTGTAAACAATTGTGCACTGGCTGTTGTTAGCAGCAGTGTTTAGGCTGGACCCAGAGACACCCCTTCGCTCCCCTAACACACTGCACCAGGTGTTGCGTTCATAAGGCAAAGCAAAGCAGTTCCATCCCCACAGCATTTACAGTCCAGGTAAGTGCTTTGTCGTCAATGGCAAGTGATCAGCAATTAAGAAACAGAGCAGCTCACAGACATTCATCTAAAAAAAAAAAAAAAGTTAATTTCTTGGGAGTAGTAACACATCATTTCCCACCTGAGCATCAGACTTCCTCTCATTGTTTCCTTGCACCTGGCAACAGATATTATGTCTTAGGGATTGAAGCTCTTGTTTTCTAGGAAACAATACACAGAGAAGAATGACAGAAACAGGCAAGAAAGACGAGACGCTGGGAACAGCCTTTGTGAATCTGTCAGTTTACATCATTACCAACCAAAGCTCTTTAAAAGAGAGTTTCAAGACCTGAGGGCTTGATTCTGCAAAGCAGTGAGTGCTCTGCCCTCGCTGCAGCAAAGACCCCAGCACATGCATCACTTTAATTACACAAGTGCACCAATTAAAATGGACCCACTCATATCCTCAAAATTAAAAGCACATACTGAAGTGCAAACTTGAAGCCAAAGCGTTCAGTATACTGAGCCACAGGAAAGTCTGCTCCATCAGGGATGCACACACAGAGAGACAAATATAGAAAGGTACAGATGTAACAACCCCAAGGCCTGAGGTTTGGGGTTTTTTTCCTGATTGCACAAGTGTCAATCACGAGCAGCTCAGCTGAAGCCAAGCAGGGGAGTAGGTTGCGGGAAGACAGTCAAGGCCCTTAGGTTGTATTTACTGTGATGGATTCCTTGTTTTTAAATAACTACAAAACTTTTTCATAACAATGCAAAATTTCAATACATGAACCAGAGAATCTACTTAGCATCAGTTTATGAGTTCATCACATCACATCTAATAGTAAAATGCTGCTTTGGTTTTTTGGTTGCTTTGAAAAACCCCTGAAAGAAATCCACTCCCTGGGCATGCAGCCTTTGCCAGGAAAAGAAAGCAAGAGTAAGGGGTGCCATAAGCTTCTCGCTAGTTGTCAGACAGAGGTGATTTTGTCCTCTGTAGGCAATCACATAGTAGCCACTCTGTCAAATTAATGTACACTGCCTCCATGAGTTATTCCCAGAGACTGTAGCTTTCAACATTGTAACTTTAACATGCCTGTTGTTTAAAATTATCCATTCTCTGAAAATAACGATGACTGTACACGTTTCTCTTCTTTTAAGGTAAACTTTAAGTTAAGTAGAAGAGAGTAGTTCAGCCTGAAAAGGAGACAACAGAGGAAACGTTGGAAGTTCATAAACTCATGAATGGGACAGAGAGGAATGGGTACCAATTCTGCACTGTCTCTGTGCAAGACATAGGTGCTATCAAATGAAGGTTCAAAATAAAGGGCTGTGGTGCTGGACACAGTGTAAAGTTAAAGCTGTGAAATTCCTTGCCACAGCATGTTGCAGATGCTGAAAGTTTCCACAGGGTCAAGGGGCAGAGAAGTTCACGGATGGGAAAAATCAGTGAGGTCTATAAAGACACCAGCTCTCCCTTAGGAAGCATCCAAGCTGCAAATGATTGCATGCTGAGAGAGCCTTCTGGAGAATTATCCTTACACGCCTGCCTCATTCCTACCCGGTCCCTTTCCTCCCCCCCCATCCCGGCTCTGCCGGCACCACTTTTTGCAGTGTCAGACCCAGGACACTAGACAGACCTCTGGTTTTATCCACAAGAGCCTCCCAAACAGTGACGCTTTCTGTATTTTACATTCATCAGAGTCTCAAATCAATTAGCCAAACGCAATGTTTCTGAAGCGCGTCACCCAAAAACTTGAGTCACCCAAAAAATCTGACTGGTAAATCACAGTTCGCATCAGCCCATCACGAGTGACAAAGCCCATCAGTTAAGAACACTGTACCACCGTGTGAGAGACTACCACTTCCCAAAGATTCACAGAGTCCTCCATCATCTTCGCTTCCAAAACAAGACTTACTTTGACAAATTGGCGTTTTAGATTTTAAAAAGTGCATTTCAGGAGCACTGAAGGTTAATGGCCGGCGTGCAAGTAACGAGATCGCATCCAAGGCGCGGCGTGCGACCAAAAAGAGAGAGAGAGAGAGAAGGTCCAGCGGCTTCCCACCAGCCTCCCAGCTGGGGCAAGAACCGTACTCCCCCACAGCTCCTAGCGCTGCCGGGGAGTTGGGAACAGCCTAAAAGCAAAGGCTCGCCACCACGCGTGGGACGGGACGGGAGCCCGCTCGCCGGGGGGAAGCGCAGCCCCAGGTTGGGGCTGGAAGGCGCCGGGGAGCTTGCGGGGCTCTATCCCCGCGCTTCGGCGGGCACGGAGCCACCCGGGGCTGCCTCGGGACGGGCACGGATGGAGACGGCAGCTCGCCGGGACCCCCTCTCGCCCGCCCCCGGGCAGCCCCGTCCCCGCAGGTGCCCGCCCGCCGGGCCGCAAGCATCCCCGCTCCGCGACACCCCCCTCCGTCCTTACCGGCTCCGCGGGGCCGCCTCTCCCGGCCGCTCGGCACACACACACCCCCTTCCCCGCCCGGCTCGCAGCCTCTGCGCTTAGGGTTTGGGG